ATCCTCCTCTAGGGATCTTGGGCACACACGCACATGCGCCCGGCGTGAGTTAAAGCCGCCGGGTCTGGGACACGAACCATGGTCGACTACATGAACTGTGGTTGACTACGTGGGAGTTCAGCAACAGCAACGTAGCTATTACACTAACTGCTGGTCCCAAAGAGTTATTCTTTTAAAGAAAAATAAGATATTTATTTCATCATTATAAACCTAGAAGTATCTTGGGATTTTATTATTGATTTTAGACTTGAGATCATGTAAGGCACTGTTATAGCCACAGTCACCATTCAAATTAGACGTCTGTTAGGGTGATTAGTGTGGGTTAAAATAAGCAAAAGGATTCAGAACTTTTTTTGGGGGAGAGGTTTTTGCTATAGGGCACATGTGCTCTCCAGAAAGAGAGATAGAGAGACAGAAAGCGAGAAATCACCCCCCGGGGGGTGGCCACGCCGCAGTCTCTTCTCCTCCATTCTCTTTTTGGGATCCTGGGCATGCACACACATGTGTCTGGCATGAGTTTAAGCCATCAGGTCTGGGACTTGAACTGTGGTCAACTACATGGGAGTCCAGTGACATAGTCATTACACCCACTGCTGGTCCCAAGATTTAGAACATTTAAGCTGTGTATTTCATTTATAGTTGGAGCCATAGTGTGAAAGACAAACCCTGACTGTATCACCTATCTCCCTTAGTAGAGCAAAGAATTTCTTAACATCCAAGACGATTGCACTGTGGGTGGGAAAAGCCTGATGTACCTGATATGTCTTGCGAAAGAACCCAGCGTTTGCAGGATTTCATCACGATCAACAACCTTCCTGAGGTTGAGCAAGGCGATGGTTGACAACTCTGGTGGGCAGTGGGCAGCCACAGGCTCAGAGCTGCGGCCCCATGGCGCCACCATCATGTGGGGGTACACCTGTGTAGCTACCTACTATTTCATGACCTGCTTTTTCTCTTGACAGTATGGTCCATGGCCATAAATATAAATTTTTACCATGATTTTAAAAATATAATACATGTTCATATATATAATTATGACGATATGTCATAATTTATTAAATTAACCTCCTGTGATGAATATCAGGTTTTATTTAAATTTTGCAAGTAAAACATGCTGTGATAAGTTACCTTTTGCATTCATGTGTAATGGCTGTTATTAACTTAGTATAGACATAATTAACAGGAAATTGTTGGGTGGTTGTTTACGTATATTTTGCATTTTGATAAAATATTGCCCAATTATCCACCAGAAAGAGGGTACCAACTTACAAACCATCTGGAAAAGTTTTTTTCTTTACCCTTTCTTCAGTACTGTGTTTCTAAAAAGTCTTTACCAAGGCCAGCAGATGGTGTAGTGGTTACATCACTGGACTCCCACATGGCCAATCGTGGTTCAAGTCCTAGACCTGAACTCACACCAGTCACATGTGCATGTGTGCCCAAGAGCTCGGGAGGAGAATGGAGGAGAAGGGATTGCCGCTATGGCCATTCCCCTGAGGGGTAATTTCTCACTTTCCCTCTCACCGCCTCTGTCTGTCTGTCTCTCTGTCTCTCTCTGCACATGCCCTAAGGCAAAAACCTATTTAAAAAAAATCTATACTGGAGCCAGCAGGTGGCATGGTGGCTAAAGCACTGGGCTTCTACATGGTTTGAATCCTGGACCTGGCATCTTGAAAATCATGCTGGGTGCATATGTGTGCATGCCCAGAATCCTAGGAATGGAGGTGAAGGGATTGCAGCATGGCCATCCCCTTCCTCTCACTGTCCCTGGTGAGTGTATGTGCCCTATGGAAAAACCTAAAACAAACAAAAAAAGAAGAAAGATCTTAACAATCTTAATAGGAAAAAATCTTGCTGCTTTAAAAATTTTGTTTGATTATAAATGTCTACTATAAAATGAAGTTACATACTCTCAGAGCTCAGTTTAACATTTTTATGGTTTTTCATGCTGCCAGTGTTTTCTTGTAGAGCAACACATAGAATAGTTGCTTCTGCTAACTTACTGGGATTTTTTTAAAAGATTTATTTTAACTTTATTATTATTAGTTTCCAGTTTGTTCAAAGACACACACACACACACACACACACACACAGAGAGAGAGAGAGAGAGAGAGAGAGAGAGAG